ATTGCTTCTTCAGAAGCTGAGCTAGCTTTGTGATCATGGATAGAGAAGGCGAGTGCCCTGCAACAGCCTCCAACTCGGTGATTCAAAGGAACCTCCCGAGGTTCAACAACTAAAGTTAAAGTTTAGGAGTTTTCAAGACTATTCCTTAAATGGCACAAGCTAGACTTTGAAAGCAGCTCTGCACTTCAGTGCCATTCCTGTCTGTGTTTGAATGCTCCTAGATGCTTTGGGTGCATGGTGGGTTTCTTTCTTTCCACGGGGCTACAAAAAGGTACTCTTGAAGGGCAAACATTACCCTTGGGGCAGGAGGGAGGGTGAGGAGGAGACTCCTGTTTAGGTCATTGATTGCTACCTATCTTTTTCTTAATTTTTTATTTTCCTAACTGGTGCACACTGCACAGCTGCATAGTGCTGGTGGGGTCTCCTGGTCAGGCTGAGCTTTTCTGGCAGAGATCCATGCTTTGCGCACGTGCTGAATCTCTATTCATCACTCCATATACTAAAAGCTATGGATGCTTAAAGGAGTTATAGGGCAGACCAGAAACAAAGGCTTGTCCAAGATGGGTCCTCAACCTTCTTGGATTCAAGGAACTTATTAGGAAATACCAGTTCTTAGCTTTCAGTCTTTGGACTATGGAAAAACAGTCCAGCAATTTTTGCTTTGGACCGCAACAGGTCAGAAGGTTTTGTTTTTTTGACACATTGGATTCCTATTTGAAATCACTGCGTTTTATCTTGGGAATCACATGCAAGTGTTGCACACCTAACACTAATACGAGTGGCACGCTTGAAAGAATTTCCCAGCTCTAAGACTTTTTCTTATCTAAGCTCTATGCACAGTTTTATACATCCTCTTGCCCCTGCCCCAAATCTAGCTCGGTGGTTCTCAACTAAGGTGCCAGGGCACCAGATACTTTGAAGGATGCTGCAAGAAATGCAAAGATCAGCAGGTAAACCAGGCTTGTCCCTTTCTGGATGATCCAGCCCCCGTGTAAGGAGGTTCTTGAAATTGGGTGCCATTCAATTCACAACTTACGGGGAGGTGCCTCCCAAAAGGCTGAGAACCATTGATCTAGTTATCTGTGTTTTTAAACCCCAAATTTGAGCACTGAGTGGTGCTGGCTTGTTACTGCTTGTATCCCTAAAGGCATTTGGACTGTTAATATGAAACTATAGGCCCATTAGCCTTGTGCAAACAAACATGGGATATTTTTTTTTTTATGTACGGCATGCACGTGAGCATGAATGTACTCTAACCCATTGTTTTCTTTGGAAAGGCCTCGTTGCATATGTTGCAGAGGAAGGGGGGGGTGGGGGGGAGAATTGTTATTAGGGCTGAGAAGTCTGAAATGAAACCATTCCTGTAGTTCTACAGCCAAGGAACACACCACCGAGCTTTTCTGTAATCCTAAATAGTGGAGCACATTTGAATGGTGTTCATTAGAGAATGGCAAATGCCAGTTTGCCCAATAAATGAGGCTCAAAGCCAGTTGGCAATAGAGATAAGAATAGCACTGAAGTCCTGGTGCTCTCACACTAGATTTTGACGATAGATTACAAGTGTCCCGTGCTGTATTAAGTATGGTGTGCAGAGGAAACCAAGTGGAAAAGGCATCCTTGTCCTACAAAACTGGTGCTGGTTTAGCTGTATTGCTGCTCACCCCTGTGGCCTGTGCATTTGTGGGGCTATCTATATAGCTGGCCTCGCATTCATTAGATATGTTGGTTTGAAATGGCTAGTTAGGTCCCCTGCACACTTGCTCTTCTATTTTCACCCGTGCAAGGTCTTCATAGATTTTCATAGACATTAGGGCTGGAAGGGATCTTGAAGATCATCAAGTCCAGCCCTCTACCCCAGGGGCAAGAAGTCAGCTGGGGTCTTGGCCAAATGAGAAGTGGATCTTGCTGTAAATCCAACAAATAACACAAATTGCACATGTGTATACAGGGCTGGGTATGTATGCATACAAACGGGTCCCAGTTCAATCATGACATGCAAGGCTCTTCTCTGCTTTTGTCTCCTTTTGTTGGTCTCTCTTTTTAAATCGGCCAGGCCCAGAAAACAGAACAGACTAGAAGGCAGTGGCTGTAGTTTGAAACCTTTGTGTGTATATTTTTTTTTTTTTTTCCCCATCAGGATTTATTATCCCCCTGCTGAGCACCTGTCAAAGTCTGAGTGCTGGCCTTTCAGCAGGGGACCAGTCAGGAAGCAATCCAACAATGTGACAAACCCACAGGTCATTTGACTAGTGATGCTCTGGAATAGCCCAGCCTAGCTGGTCCAAACATTTCCCTTACTCAGTGGCTTCTGAATACTCAGTGATTCTGGATGCAACTGCTCTATGGAGATTGCTTTAGTTTCCTTTAAAGGACCAAACTTGGAGGTGAAAAATCCTATAGAGCCCCAGAAATTTGTCTAGAATGGACCTTTTACTGAAAAGGAGGGTGGACCTTTATCTAGAAGGGTCTCTTGTATCGGACATGTTGATCCTGGGCTGTTCTGTCTCCAAATGCTTTGGGGTGACAACGCTCCTCGCTAAGGAAGCCAGAACAAGGTACACTATCATGCACTGGGATTTGGTTGTGCTCAAAAATTGAGCATCTGACTGGTTCCAGAAGCAGAGGTGTGTGTGCTTTGTGTAGTACAACTTCATAAGAAGTCGTGCACAAGTAAAGCTGTGGAAAGAGCGAGTGTGAACACACGTGCTTCCCCTGACCCAACATGCATGTCAAGACTTTTTGGGGAAACTCCCATCCAGGTGGCTCATGAATGGAAGAGCTGCAGTTGGCCAACCTAGTCAGAACCGATGTTTATGAACCCTAACTTTTAACTTGACATCCTGCTTTTGGGCAAGGAGAAGTCCTAATCCTGTTGGACTGTTCCAGTGCAGGTGCTTTGCCACTTGTCCTGTTGGCTAGTTATGGTAAGAGACTGATGTATTGTGCTTCCTCCACTCCTGCCAGTAGCCATATCCTTGCCCCTGGCTTTGTGAGTAATTGCTCGTGTACTTTAATGTCTGGTGTCCTCTCTCTCTTTTTTTTTTTTTTTCAGGTCACGGTGACACTGTAAAATGTTTTTACTGTGATGGTACCATGAGGGACTGGATGCTTGGAGATGACCCCTGGAGGGAACATGCTAAATGGTTTCCAAGGTAATTCATGGTATCCTAATAGGTGTTTGTAGCAGGACTAGTATAATGAGGCCTTAACTGACTCTGGCCTTTCGGGAGCACCTACAAGGAATTCTGCATAAAGGGATAACGAGAGCTGCATCAGTGTCAGTGCAACCTGTTATGTTGGGACGGCAGCTCCTAAAAGCACGCAGATTCTTGCTTTGAGCACAAGCAGCTTGGCCTCCATCTCCTGAAAGCACAGAGGGAAAGTCGGGGTGCAGACTGCAGTCTGTGCGCCTGCACCCATTTTACATGTGTTCAGATCCTTGGAGTGGGGGGTGTGGGGTCTTTTTCTTCCAGTCCAGCAGTTGTCTTTCCCATGTGTACTGTTGTGTTTGTAAAGGATTATCCCAATCAAACGATCTGCCTACAAGCTGAAATCCTCCACCCATCAAAACATTTTGAACTGCTACACTTATGCAGCTTGTGCCATTGTCTTTGGAAGAGCTCCTTCTCCCTTGGGCACTTCCAGAATCCCAAGATAGCCGCCCATTTCAACAACAGATCATGGGTATTAAGACTGAAACCACCAGACTGCCTTTATATAGCCTTATATCCTAATGACGGCTTTTTATGCACCATTGTTTGTGGCTGGATTGAAATTGGATCCTATGTTTAACTGGGAATCTCTGCTTGGCGCTTCATCTGGGACATGAGGATCTTCTAGAGCAAAGTCCTAGTGGATGTAGACCCTCCTGTCGAGTGACACGGCTCTCAAATGCCATGCCTGTTTAAATAAACTAGTTAAGCCTGAGCAGCAAACAGACCTGAACCCCTGTTGAGTGTACAGATGGCAAAGTCTGGCTTCCTCTCTGAAAAATAAAACTATTAGTTTTAAACTTAACACTGCCCTTTAATCATCCCTGGAAGTGGAGCAGCCCTTGGATTCCTTTGGATCCTTTTGGTCTTGTGCAAACAGAAAGATGTAGCGTAGTGGTTTTGTGTTACAGGAGCCATGGGACTGTGCTTATTTGTCTTCCACTGAGCCAATCTTGAGCCAAAAGGCTCTCTGAGGCTGTTAGGGAAATGTGAGATGACGCTTGCTTGTTGTGGGAGGATCGGGAGTCTTGGACCACCGCTGTTCTTCCTGCTAGAACTGGAAGGCTTTGTAAAGCAGATGGAGGAACTTCCCACTCCCATGAACCATCTCTTTTAGCTGTGTATGCAAAAACATCACCCATCAATGTGCATGGATCACTGCATCCAGAAGCTTAGCTGGATCCCAGACAAGTTCTGCTGCCAGTTAAGCGTGGGGGTGGGAGTGCCATGTTGAACTTGTTTGCTGTCATCTTCTCCTTAGGTGTGAGTTTCTGCTCCAGTCAAAGGGGAGAGCATTTGTTACCAGGGTTCAGGAGACTTATTTCAACCCCCAAGAACCTCTGGTGAGTATAACATTTTTTCTTTTTTAAATGCAATGAATGCAAAAGAGACTTGTCTTTTCTGACTCCATCTTGTAATGTTTTTAGGGAGACTCATGGTCTCGGGATGAACAAGAACCCTCTGCTATCCAAGGTGGGTTGTATGCAAGTCCTGGCTCTTTTGTTTGACTGCTCTGGCTCCTATGTAGTACTCTGGAGACGGCAGGCTGAATTGCTTTCAGAGAAGTTTGCATTTTGATGCGAAAAGCAACTTCCAGAAGCAAAGGTGACTTCTAATGAGACTGCATACCCTGGATGTGCAGATCAAAGACTTGGCTAGCTCAGGTAGACATCCAGGATCCTGGGTGCCCAATTGCATTTCTTGAGGTTCCTCGGTGGTTAGTGATGTTGTCTGTGTCATTGGTAGATCTAACTTTCAAAAGATCTTTGGAGGCATCTGGAGCTACAGCCAATCTGAGAATGTGGAGGAGAAATTTTGAATTTGGATGATCCTGGAAATGGTCTCAAGTTTTTTGAGGAGCTGGTCCCACAGAGATTGGATCCTGAACATGAGTAAGAGGAAAGATGCTGCACTTCCAGGCTGCATTGGCTCTTTATGGCAGTCTAAACAGAGTTTGGACTATAACAGACTTGCCTCTTGTTAGAAACTGCTCTCTGCTTCAGTGGTATTTGCTAATTCTGTGTTTGCACCAAAAGAACTGGACTTCAGAACAGGTCCATCTTTGCACCATGCTTGATCACAGCAGAGAGGAAAACTGAGGACGAAGTTCACTATATGCATGTTGAAAGCCTGTCCTTGGTAAACAAGGAGTTGTGGGCCAGTTTGCTAATGAACTGTTAGTTTTTATTCTGCAAAAGTTTTCCAACTTGGTGACTCTGAAACAGGCTGAGGAAGAAACTATGGCTTTAAACCTATTTGGTGGTACCCTATAGTATTAGGGATTTGGCGATGGCTGGTATTCAGTCTAGCTTGCTTTTACAAACACCTGAGATGCTGAAGGAAGAAATTCTTGGAGTATGTTAAGCTACCATCAGTGTTGGACACTTATTTATCTGTATTCATACCTCATGGCTGGTGGTTTTTTAAGGATTTGGTTGTGTGGGGAGTAGATCATGACTAGCATAGACATTTTTAAGACCTGGGTACACAAAGCCTTGGCTGAGATGATGTAGTTGGGGCTGGCCCAGGTTTGAGCAGGGGCTTGGATTAGATGTGACCTCCCAAGGTTCCTTCAACCCTAACTTTCTATGACTTAAGTGAATGCCCTGGGCTGTGGATCCAGGGTTATGAAGATGGACATAAGCTCAGTCTCAGCTTCTAGGGTGGATTACTTGGGACACTGCTGACCTTGAATGTTGACCCTCTTTGTGATGGAAGTATTGCGTGTGCTTGCTACTGGATTTACTTGTGCTTGGAGGTGAGGGCAAAGGGGCTAACCTTGCCACCAATGAAGCCAAAATGCCTGCATGTTGGTATGAACACCAAGAGTAGTTCTCTGAAGCATCAGAATTGCCGTTGGATCATGTTTCTAGCATCGTCTCTGACCCTGGCCAGGTAAGGAATGACTTGGTATGAACTGCCCTTTCAGTCTAATCCTATCAGACGAGTTGGCTCTCACTCCGAATCACAAAGGTTAATGCTCTGCCTAGTGGGACTCTTGATGAAAGCTGTGTCTCTTGGAGGGGGGACCAGGTCTTCATTACCTCAATTCCACCAAAGCCTGCTGCAAAACACTTGAAATCAGCAGAGTCCTGGTTGCACCTCTGACTCCAGAACAGCTTGTTCCTCCACTGCTTGCTGGGAGGAGAAATGAACCACTGAATATAGAGATGGAAAAAAAATCTGCCCATAGCTATTCAAATGACTTGTCTATTGTTGTGATCTCTGGTAGAACTCGTTTGATACCACTTTCTTGGAACTGAAAGTATTAGCTGATACACTGCATGAAGTTGGGGCATTTGAGAGACGGCTATATAATATTTTGGAATGGTCTTTAGGCAGACTAATGCATTCAGACCTATCCTTGCCATGTCCTTCAGTGGTGGGAGTTGACCCACTTCCTGGTGAAGTATCTCCTCGCTGTGCTTTGCAGATCCTATGGGGAATCGGGAATTGCCATCTCCTCTGGATCAGTCTTGCGTAGTGCAGAATGTCCTGCAGATGGGCTTTGACCACAGCTTGGTGATTAGCTTGGCCCAGAGTAAATACCTGCTGACTGGAACGTGCTACTTATCTGAGTCTGAGCTGGTTTCAGATCTGCTTCAGACCACTGGGGAGGAGAGCACCAGTGCAGAAGGAAACAGAGGTAGGAGTGACCCACCTGTCCCTTGGTGGCGGGTATCTTTGGTTGCTGAAAAGTAACACCTTGCACCTGCTCCAAACTTGCTAGAGCACTTGGGGAGCTTTCTCTTGGGTCTTTTCCTAGAATAAAATTTAGGGAATGCTCTTCCACCGTATCCTGGAGATGTCGAGGAATGAGTTTGTTGTTGCCAAACAGTCTCCAGTTACTGGAATATCTGAAGTAGGCCACTTCCCAGTAGCCTGAAATAGAGCTGCTTTTCTTGGTTTGACAACTGTGGATTTAGCCCCCACAAAATGATGGTAAGGGTACAAAGGTGGCTTAATCCCCCGCAGACTGATGCGCAGGGTACAAAATATTCAGAAATGGATTCCTTGGGCTGGACGATCCAGGAAGGTCATATAAGCCTTGTGTGGCTGCTGGATATAAAATGGAGACAATGGTAGAAAGTGTGCTACTAACTTCTCATGGGCTCTAAAACCATGAGGATACAGGCAATTGTTAAAGAGCAGACTCCTGGGATGGGTACCCCTAATGTGAGAATGAGGTGATTTTTTTCTATATGGGAAAGAAGAGTGCAACCACACTGTGTGTGTGTGTGTGTGTGTGTGTGTGTGTGTGTGTGTGTGTTTTACATTTCTATCCTTAATGTGCTACAAGCAGCTGCCAACTTTATCAATGGTCCAAAGGGGACACTTGTGTTTGGAGAATACAACACGTGCATGTTCTATTACTATGCTCCTAAAGCTTATGTTTGCTAAATACCGGTGAGCTGGATTTTAACTTGTGGCTAACCAACATGTGGTGACACCCGTCTGACCACCCCCTGGCTTGGTGGAGGGTGCAGGGTCACTGGTTTTCATCTACCAGCTCTGTATGTTTGATCTGAAGGGCACCCGAACACCAAGGGACCACTTCCTTTTTAAGCCAAGTATTTCTCACAGTAGGAACATTACCCTGTTTGCTTCTAGTTCACGTAGACCCTGCTCCGAGGGACAGCGGTACATCGGGACTGAAAGGGGAAGCCCAAGCTGAGTGCTCCAAAGAATCAGGTGAGATGAAGAGGAAAACTTATAGAGCTTCCTGGCCCTGCCCAGACAATAGCAGGGGGTCTCTACCCAGGGCTTATCACCTCTGGCTTTAACAGAGGAACTGTGAAGGGGAATGTATTGTACTACATTGGAGCTGAGCTTAGAGGCCGCACTTGAGGATTAAGGGCCCACTGCATAAGAAGCTGTACAAATGCCAAAAAAAAGAGCTTGGCATGGATGAGTAGTACAGCAGGGCATGGGCATATTTCTCTCCCTGTCCCAAACATGCATCTTTGAAATGCTAAACCCTTTTTAGCACATCTGCATGACCTCTTAGGGCTTCATGAGCAAAATAAGAGGCTTGGCAGCATGAAACTGAACAAAATGACGGGCCATAGCTCCTAAAGTCCCACTTGAACTAGAGAATAGGAAACTCAGGTCAGATGGGAAGGTGCTGAAAGAGCTTTTGGATTTTATTTTGCAGCAGGCCCTACGCTGAGCACAGAGGAGCAGCTGCGGTGCCTGCAGGAAGAGCGGATGTGCAAAGTCTGCATGGACAAGGATGTGTCTGTGGTCTTTGTCCCTTGCGGACACCTGGTGGCGTGTGCAGAGTGCGCCCCTAACCTGAGACGGTGCCCTATCTGCAGAGCATCCATCCAGGGGAGTGTGAGGACGTTCCTGTCTTGAACCACCATGCAGTGTAAAGGCCCTCATGGGATCCTGGGTGAGTTGCAAAAATCATTTGGCTTGCCTACCTTGTGCATGGCTCTGTTGTATCAAGTTACAGAAGTTACACTTCTGCTTGTGTTAAAAGGGAAGAGTGGTAAATGGACACTGTCTTTCTGTTCCTCCAGCAGGGCAGATGGCCTAAACTTTTAGATGTATCCCTGCTATCAACCCCATCGCCATGAAGAGTTACTTCTGGGTTCTGGTTCAGGGGCACCTGAATTTTAAATAAGCACTCTCCAAAAGGGGCAGGGAAGAGTCATTGCTTGAAGCAACTGCCTTCTCCACTCTAGATCTGAGATGATTATTATTATTATTATTATTATTATTTATTTATTTTTTTTAAGGGAGAAATTTCCCCTTTTTTGCAAGGAAGCTGTCAATATTGGCAAAAATCAAATTGCTGCTCAGATGCAAGTTTTTTATGATGCTCCTTCCTCTTAGGGGCGGATGTGTCAATTGGCAATAATGCTTTTTTTTCCCCCCATTGGAAGTAGAATTGTTGTTTGTTAACAATGGCAACGCGTGTGTGTGTAAAAGGGATGGCTCCAGTCTCATGTCCCACTTTCCTCCCCCATGCCCCTTTCCACTTCAAACATTTGAATGCCTAAATAAAACAACCCTGCTTGGCTTGTCTTGCAGACTCTCTAGCTGCCTCTTTTTTCCTCCACTGATAGAAGACGTGCGAGACATCTGCTCCAAAATATAATTGTGACTCTGTCCTTTTTAAAACAAAAAACTTCGTATCTCAACTGAAGACCTCCATGATGCTATGAACAGAGCACTTGGCAGTATGCTCTTCCATCCTTTTATTTCCTTTTTTAGCAGAAAGAATGGAAGCCAGCAAGCATGGAAAAGGCTGTACAGGACACTTCAGGGGGCTGTTTGGTGACCTAGACTGCAAGTGCTTTCTAGCAAGAAGCTAAGAGAGGCCTTGACCAACAGGATTTGTTCATAGATTGGAAAAAGAAAAGCAAACCCTTTGTAGATTTGTACTTTAATGTTGGAAAAATAAAGCTATTTTCTCTTTCAGGCTGATCTGTTTGAGTCTGGTCACTAAAAGGCTTAAAATAACTCCCGGTTTGTGAACTAGCCAGTTGCAAGACTTGCATAAACTAACTGTTATGAGTTGAACAGCAGCTTCTTTCTATTGCCACTTAGCTGTAGTTTTGTGCTTCTATTTTTTTTTTTTTTCCTTGCTTGGGCATGACCTAACCAAGCAACTTCCCTTAGCATAACCCTACTTTCTTCTTTCCAATCTCATCAGCTGGAGTCCAGCGTTGAGTCTTGTTTCTCCTGAGCAGCTCAGTGGAAGTGCACATCAGCTATATTTGATCCCCAGTCACTTAAACCTGGTTCTGCACTGGCTCGCCTGACTCGCTGGGTCAAGACTTATGAGCCCCAGCTGATGCTTCTAACTAAGGGGGGTAGCCTTGGTCCTCCTCTCTTCCTCCAAAAGAAAAGTTTATTTTTATGCAGCATACTTCTTCTCTTCCAGTTGCCCAGCATCGCAGGGATGAGAAGAACAACTAAACTGTTTATGTTCTTACCTTGAAGACCAAACCATGGGGTTTGGTGGAGCTTTACTAAACTTGAACACGCTTGTAGGCTAAAGGTGCACTACCGAATTAGCTGGACTGTTCTATCTGGCTTATCAATGCAAAGTGGCTATATTAAGCACTGTTAATAGTCCTGGAGGCTGCTTTTGGCTTTGAGTTTCTCTGTTTCAAGATGTGTAGAGTAGTAGCCTGAAAAAACTTGAGGCTAATTTTGAATTGAAGCTGGCTCTTATTTCTGAGCATAGCTGTGTGCTACTAAAGAACTGGCAGCAGCAGGACTGTAGGGTCCTGACCATCAGCTGCCCAGGAGGTAGGCTGAAATTTTTGAAAGAAATCTTTCCTGTAGAATAAATCCCATTAGAAATCACTTTGTTCTAGTGTCAGAAGTTCCTGTGACGGTCTGTTTTGTGTGCTGCTGTTTGCATCCTATGCATGCATCCCTCCATGGCTCCATGCAACCACTAGTGTGAATTTCAGTCTATATTTGTTACATCATTAATAAAAACATAGGCTTTGTATATAAACTTGTATGAACTATAACTATATTTTTAACCAGTGGATGGCAGTATTAACTTAACCATGATAGGAGCTGTGCAAATAAGCCTGCAATTGCTCTTTCTTCCCTACAGCATGAGAGAAATATGAATATATGTGGATTCTTAGGATGGGAAAATGTCTGTTTTTGAATGAATTATTAAATGTGGAATACCGATAGCAAAAGAAGCACTAAAATGAGCTGGAATATTCATATCCCTATGAATGACAAAATAAGTGGAGGTCACTTAAGATGAGTAATGTTGTCTCAAAACTTGTCCTATTGGCCTTTTTCTAATGAGACCAGTTCCTATGCAGACACAGGCATAAATCAGCAAAATTTTAATCCTCTTATTGTTTCATTCAGGCCTCCATCTTCCCCTGCAATAAATACCCCACACAGTCTTGACTATGGGTGGGGTTATGCTTCACTTCAAGGGATGTTTATTTGATTCTTTTCTGAGGCTACTCAAGGCCCCGGCAATCCAGATCAATTTAATCAGGTTTCAACTATTAAGAGGGGAGAATGCAAAGCTGGAGTGAAAAGAGTGGGTTCGTTCATTTAAACTTGGGTATCTTTTGGCTGTGTTGTGTTGCATCCTATATTTAGGTCTTGGTAAGTTTGTGTGATATAAAGTACTTTTGAGACTTTGAT